TATGAATATCCAGCTGGTCAAAACTCATTGATTTATTTGAGAAAACACCTGTGAAACGCAAAATATTTAAGTTTAAGTCACTGCTTTAGTCATTTAAATTAGTTATCTATTTTACATTTCCATAACTATAAAATTTACATTTTCCTCAGTTTTATTTTGAACCATAGTTTGTATTTCATCAGGAAGACACCTCACAGTCCATTGACCTCCTTTCATTGTGTTGAAGCTCCTCAATGCAGAACAGAGCTCCAGTGTGTGCACATCTATGTAGCTAGTAACGCGCTAGCCATGCCCAATCCACTAATATATATTAATGCATCAGACCAGGTTTTTCCCAAAACGTGCTCCAGTAGTTTTGATAACCCAGGTTGTTTTTAGGACAGCACCTGGACGGCTGAACGATGACATGCAGATAAATGAGTCATGGCTGGTCGCGTTGTGGAGGGGACCAGAGAAAACAAACTGTAGTTTCCCACAGAAGCAACATTAAATTAGTGACCTCTGACTGGTGTAACCAACAGTTCAGCGAAATGTCTACAGACAAACTGGCCTGTCTTTCTGTTCCCTCTGTCTGTTTATAAATCAGAAATGTTTTGTCCACATCCTGTCTGGGTTTGCTGGAGGATCATTGACGTTAGCTGCTCTCTGTGGCTAAGCTAAGGCTAGCTTAAAGCTTTTCAACAGTTCAGACCTCCCCGCCTCCAGAAGACTACCTTTGTTACRCACCATTATAAGTCTCTCACACTCTTCTGCTTTACTTACATATTTAACGTAGTCCTTCCACTGCTGCCACCACAGCATGGAGATGAGGAACCAGTTCTGGCCTTGCTGCAGTCCATGTCGACTCTCCCTCTCTAACCAGCCCCTGCACAAACAAACACATCAGTCCACAGAGAGACCTCCACAGACTCTAAACACACCTGAAACACAGATAAAGTCAGGTACTTGATAATCTGTCCCTCCTCTCCAGGAGTAGCAGGCCTGAGCCCCAGGACTATATGGCAAACCTGTAAAAACCCAGAACACGAGACACATTCAGATTACAAATAAACACACATATTCTCTAAAGCAAAACAAAGTTGGCAGCATGAGGGTAACGCACCTGGAAGAGCAGGTTTAAGAACTCATTGGCCAAAGCACTCTTCACACTCCAGATCTGGTAGTCCTCAAGAGTCAGGTGACCCATCTAATTCAGACACACAGAATATGTTCTGACATGAACTGATTTATTCTCAAAAGACTGATTTCTTTAAAACCTGAGAGACAATATGGAACATTTCTTTTATTTGAGAATTAAAAGGTTTCTTGAGGTGCAATGAACTGTTCCCACAAATCCTACTGCTATATCAATTCATATTAATTTACAGTGTTGTATAAAGCACCAATGAAGTGGTAGTTTGGTAAAAGTTAAAGTCTCCTTAAGGAATATTACTCGAGTAAAAGTCTTAAAGTACCTGATATTTTTTGTACTTAAGTATTAAAAGTAAAAGCATTGATTTAAAATGAGCAGTTAGATTTTCTGTAAGGACATTTATAATATACATATATACAGTTGTGGTCAAAAGTTTACATACACTTGTAAAGAAACATAATGTTATGGCTGTCTTGAGTTTTCAATAAGTTCTACAACTCTTATTTTTCTGTGATAGAGTGAT